TAGGAATCCGCCCTGGAGGAGAAACTGGATCGGGGTCCACCCTGATGTGCCTGCTCCTCCTGAGTGACCACCTGGCCACCGAGGAGGCCGCACAGGGCCATGGCAGCGTCGCCACAGACCGAGGGAAGAGAAGCCCAGGGAGGGGACGGGGCAACGGGGGCGCTCCTGAGCCGTCAGGCATCAGCGGCGACAATGGCCACCGCGACAGAGCGGGCGTTTGCTTCCAGCTCTGCGACAGTAGCGTTAACGGGAGAAGCCAGGGACCGACCCGACGCCCCCGTCTGCCCGACGTGCAGGTGGGTTGAGCTGCTTTCCTGCCTCTGGACTTACTTCCTCATGATTTTAAAAAGAAAGAAAACGATTGCGCAGAAGGACAGGTTCTTTTTTTTACTTGAACCAACGTCCACAGGTGTCCTTGAGTGACGAGGGACTTCCACTGGTGACCTGACATGCACCTTGGTTTTCTGGTTTCAGAGCATCTCCATGTTTTCATTCGCAGAGGGAAGAAGACGGAAGCCCAGGGCCCTGAGGGGGCGCCAGGCCCCCAAGAGGCTTCCAATGACGCTCATTTGATTCTTTAGAACTTTCTAGATTTTCTTTTTCTTTCTTCTCCTTTTGTTTGCGGTTAAGCATACATTACTTTTATGTAATAAAAAAGTAATAACTTATATTATTACAGAAAATCTGAGATCGCCTCTGTGCATCGAACATTTGCTATGTATCCGTTTTACGTATCTTAATCCACAAACGTTGGTAAAGTCGGTAACAGTCTCATTTGATAAACTGGGAAGCTGAGGAACAGAGAGGGTAAGTACCTTGCCTAACAACACACAGCTGCAGCTCTAATTCTGCTCTGATGTGAAGCTGGTGCTCTTTCCATTAACACCCAGGAAGGTCAACGCGATTCCTGCCTCCACCAATCGGCTCTGGGCTCTCACAGGAGCCCCGGCTTCCCTCGGCCTTTTGCCCTCCTACTCAACCACCCAGCTTCGCGGCAGAGTGTGCTTAGATGCCGTGATGCCAGGGGCTGGCGGCCCAGGTTCTCCCGTGGCCGCGACGTCCCTCCTCACCCTGGTTCTACAGTGAGTAAAGGTCGAGGCACGTAAAGAATCAGCAGGGGCTGCAAAGACAGGATGTGCTGATGCTGGGGACGCCCGAGCCCCGTCCCCACCGCCGTCAGCCCTGCCTCACCTACAGGCACCTCCGCACCCTCCTGTCCTCCAGCTTCCCAGCTGGTCACTCCACAGCAGGAACCAGGGTGGGGCACTGTCAGAACCCTTCAGCGGCTCCCGTTTCCTCCTCCAATTCCTCTGCTCTGAGCAGACCCTCGTCTTCTTGCTCCTCTTCCTGTGGCTTCTCTCCCGAGCGCCCTTTGTCCAATCCCTGGTGCCCGGACAGTTCCCAAGAGGCCGGCTTTGTGCCTCGGGGCTCTGCCCGCCCCTTCGGCGTGTTGCCCCGGCAGCAGTTACTTTCCCGCCACATCCCTGGCGGCCGGGTGTGGCGCTCCTCCCGGGCCCGGGCTCTGCCATCTGATCCCTGGTGGGCAGCAGACGGCCCAGGGACAGCTGGACGAGAAGCCCAGCGCAGAGGCTCCTCCCAGGGCTCGGCTGGCGGTTCTCAGGCCTGGGGTCAGCTGGCGCTTCTTCCCGTCACCCGGTGGGGCCAGGAGGTTTTAGATCCCCAAATCCCATTTTTGAAAACATGACATTTTAGCACCAAAGTGGAGTCTTCCCGCAAGCCCTGCTCTTGGCTGCCTCCAGCCCCAAGCTCCGGGTGACCATGGGTGGCCCTCCTGCTCTGTTGGGCCTTCGAACCCCAGGACTGGCGCCCACATGGGCCTCCCGGGGGCAGGGAGTGCCCAGGAGCCGGGGGGCAGCGCCATTGCTCTGGGAGGCTGCTGGCCCGGGCCCGGATCCTCTCACC